TTTTAATACTTTTTAATAATGGGGTACAATACAAAAATCATCTTCAAAAAAGTCAGGGGGGTACTTTACACAGGGGGTACTATAAAGAGCGTTTTACGGTACTTATTCGATTAGTTGCGATTTTCGATTTGTAACACTAACTGTACGCATCACATAAATTTCGCATAATTGACCCCAATTGGATCGCATAATCCTGTCGTGTGATTTCCGATCTGCCAATAATATCATGCATGCATACCAACCCTGGTTACTCTGACGAAGCCTGTTAATTCTAGGTTAAATTATAACACCACAACTTTTAACAAACTAACTTTTAAAACATGAGCGGTATAAGTGACATAGAAAGGCAACAATACTTTCAAATCTTTTCTAAACTTGGACCTTCACCTAGTGGCTATCTTTCAGGTTAGTCACTTATCTTTTCTTACCAAAGGTTAAAGACAGAAGTTTGCAACTGAACATTTTTTATACATGATTCAGGCACTCAGGCAAAGAATTGGCTTTTGAATTCGACCCTTCCTGTACCATGGCTCGAAAAAATATGGTATTTAGTAAAATTAGGTTATCTATAGTTTAAACGAATGTCTTTTATTTAATCTTATTTGTCTATAAAGGGATCTTTGTGATATTGATAAAGATGGTCAACTAGACTTTGATGAGTTCACAGTAACCTGTAAACTCGTTAATGATCTTTTAGCTCGTGTATATATGGATGTGCCTTCATCACTCCCATCTCATCTGATTCCTAAAAGCAAGATACATCTATTTGTAGGGAATAATACTGGATATGTTAGCGGCGGAGGTTCGTCGTTGGGAATGAACCCAGGCCTTTTTTCGCAACAAATTATTAGTCCTATTCCACAATCCGTTAATACAATTCCTCAAATCAATTTGTCAAATACAATTCCTTCCTATCAATTATCACAACAATTGCCACGAATTCCTACACCACCTCGTCAGGTCCGATTTCCTTAAATTTTCTTATGATATTTAATTATATTTGTTGTTTTATTAAAATGTTATATTGTATTAGGTTTATTGAACCTCTTTTTTTCGATCTACGTTAAAATAGAGTAGTTACAGTAGTTTTCCTACTGCACCATTGTCTGATGATTTTGATTGGTATATGCCACCCGCTGATAAGTTTAATTACGAAAACGAATATAAGAAGCAAGCAGGTCCTCACGGCTATGTTAGATGTAAGTTATTTTAAATTATGAAAATGTATATATCATTATTTTTGTGGTTTACACGTCTTTTTAGTAAACTTTTATATTTATTTTTTGTTTTAGTTGCTGACTTTGATGAACTTTATCAACGACTTGGAATATCAAGAGAAGAGTGCATTTCAGCATGGTTTGTTAATTAATTTTATCATCTTAATACGTAGTTAAGTATTATTTAAACTAATATTTGGTTTTAGGGGTCTCATTGATGTGAACTTTGAGCAACGAGTAGGCAAAGACCAATGTCTTGTATTTCTTCATATATTAAATCAGCGAAGTAAAGGCAAACGCATACCTGATACTTTACCGAACGCTTTGAAAACTTCATTAGTAAGGGGAAAACTTAATTATAATTACAATGAAACTGCTGATCCATCATGGAAATCAAGGTCATCCGATAGTGGATCAGTAAAGTCAAGTGGTTATAGCGAATTTCAGTCGAGTATGTAATATACAATTATATGTGTATATGTTAACTTTTAAACATATGACTAATATAAATTTTATAGGTTCTTCAAAATGGGAGGAAGATCGATTACAGAAGGAACTTGATGATTTAAATGAAAGGATTCAAAGAGCTGAAGCAACAGCATTGTCTTCATATACGAGTGCGCTTCAATCATCTGGTGATTCAAATGTTGTAGCAGAATTCAAACAATTATACGAATATAAGCAACAAAGACATGCAGAATTGGTCGAAAAAGAGCAAACTAATAGAACATTGGAAGAATATATTCAAAAAGAACGAAATCATCTTCGCGAATTACAAGACAATATACAATCTTTAAAGAATCAAGCGCAACTATTGGAAAATGATTTAGAGTCAAGTCAAACAGAGTATAAAAATCTTCAACGGGAGATTGACAGTGCAAAGTTGATGCGATAGTGTATTGTATGATTTGTTATTCGTATTATTTATGATTGTTCTTTGTGAAGGTAGTATTGGTATAAATATATTAAATTAAATTCATTATCGCATCGAATGATGAAACAAAAAAACATTTGGGTGTGTAATTAGAATATATGATCAAGCATAGTTTTTTTTTTTTTTTAGTATACCACATCATTCATTCAATAATTTATTAAATAAATATAATAATATGAGTACTAAACAATTCTATAAATTAAAAATTAATTCTACAAACGTTCCAATTATAGTCACGTACACCAATCAGGTATTTTACGTACACCAATATATTTAGACAACAGTGCAAATGTGACAAGGTGACTATGACTATTACGGGTTAACGGTTTCTCAATGAAAAAGACATTAATCTATTCTCGGCGTATTTTTATTAAAGACCAAATGACTATCCCAGTAGAGATTCCTAAAATTAGCAAATTGATAAGAATTCCGTATACACATCCCAAAAAAATTGATGAATTATTAAGTAGTGTCTACGAATTTGATAAAAATATTAATAAAGTTCAACTAAAAATTTAATGCATAAATAAAAATAGATATAAATGAGTGACGAGAAGTAATTCTAAAAATAGCTATAATGAAACTATTTTTAGAATTACAGGTTTTTTCGTCACTCATATTAAAAACTTACAGCATAAGAAGCACCAAGATGAGACAAAACTACCCAGCCTATCAAAATATAACTTCTCTTAGAAAATCCTTCAAAAGCAATCATCATCCACATTATATGTAAAAAAATAAATATACACGTTGTAATGGCTAAGAAAAAATAATGCATATTAGTGATAGAAACTAAAGAATTAATATGATTGTTTATTGAACTTTTCATTTTTACCTCCGACAATATATATTGTCAATGCGGAACATGACTTGCACATTAATACAGCTGGTCCAACAGAATTTATTAATAAAGTAAGGTAAGTGACAACACCGCTCACCAACCCGAAGCCCATTCCACACACTAAGTCCGATCAACGATTCAGGATGGTAAAAAGCATATATAAATTAGCATTATATTGAAATAAATAACAAAAAGTTTGTAGAAAGTACTAACCGAACGCAAAAGTGGACCTATTATACAATGACTTTGGATTATTAGCCACCAATATAAGGCCTTGTTCAGCTCGCCTGTAAACAGAACGTAAGAAATTGCGACGTTAATTAGAATGTAAATTTGAAACAAATACGAACTAAATCAAGTAAAGATACCGTGTATAAGTTTTGAATTACATCATAAGTTTAAATAAAAGCCAGCGAAAAAATTCTTGTATTATAACACTGTACAGTATTGTAAGGTCATTTTTTGAATAGACCGGTTTTATAAGGAACCAAATAACGGAAGACAAAAGTATCGATATCAGCCAACAAAAAGCACTATAGAAAAATCACAAATGTATTAAAGTATTGTTCAAAAAAACAAAAACGAAAGGATGGATATTAGTTATTGTTTCTTTTTTATGATGCCTAACCTCGATATCATTAAAATCACGAGTTGTGCGTCCTTCGCGATATGCAAGAAAAATATGCTAAGAGCCGGTCCATACGCTAGTGATAAAATTGCCAAAAGGGTTGGTAAAGTTAGAAAGTTAGGCAAAAGAATTTAATTAGTGCTAGTATTAAGAAGTACCTGTTAGACCACAGCCAAAGAATGTAAGTAAGGTCATTGTAGGAGACAAAGAAATTATATTAACGTTAACGGTAATAACTGGAGACTCATTTAAGTTGTTATATATGTTTTGATTGTAATACAATTAGTAAATGTACAGTAATAGCGAAATCAACCAATTAGGATTAGAATGTTTGATATGTAGGTGTTGAACTGATATGCTGTAATGGTTAAATTTAATTAATTTATATGAGGTAACGGTAATACATGCGCGACTTACTAAACCAGAAATACGGTAATGATTCACAAAAATGAACAATTACTGTGCGGTATGCACAAAAAAATAAATAACATTCCTAAAAAATTTTTTGCACAGCATATTTGTGCCGAACTTTTAACACTATCTATAGTCATACCATCGGTGACTATACATAGCGATGTACGGTAGAGTCTGGGACTAGATTCGACCTTCCAATGTATTATCTGTAACACAAACGCGTAGACCTGATCACTCATAAAATTTCCGCAATGATTGATTTTAAGCGGGAATGCACATATTAATAGAACAGGTAAATGGAAACCGAAGGACTTATCACGGATCAGTCCGACAATGGGTATTTTCGGAGCAAATGTTCGTTTTTGTCAATCAACCTTAATTTGCGGACACACATACAACCAGGTCACTATGACTCTCCCGTAATGTCCTTCGGACAATAAAGGTTACTTTTTTAAAAATATTATATTTGAAAATTCAAAAGGTTATATTCAAAAGTCGATAAAAGGTTTTAGAGTTCCGATCCGGATAATCCGTCATCCATTTTATCCGAGAATTTTATTTGTATACTAGCATATATACAGTACATGGGGCAGTGTTGTACATTTTTGATGTCCAAGACTTTTTTTTCCAACGTTCAGCGTCCAAGTCCAAAAATGGTCAAGCATATTTACTCATATAAATTAAAATTGTATATGTTGTGCCTCAGATTAATGCTTGCGTCAGATGTCAACTTTTTGGCCCGCATTAACTGATCGATATTGATTGACTTAAATTAAGCCCAAATCCTTCCCAGATTCTTACCCTAACCCTAATCTAACTTAGGCCGGTTTTAATCTGACGCAAGAATTGATCTGAGGCACGACATATATACAGTATAAAATTAGGAGCCAAATATTTTTTTTTCAAAAAATTATATTAGGCTGCTATAGTAAAATTTTGAGTTATTAGCAATTTATTTTTGTGTAACATGTCCAAGGTTTTGTCCAAGCATGTCCAATGACAACACCGTATGAGGGGTGTTGTATTTCTCAAACTTTCGATTATAAATCCATCTTTTGGCTTTTAACAAAAAAAATTGCAAAATTTTGATATAAACTATATTTTATCCCAATTTCAAAACTTTAACTACAAACAAAAGTTAAATTTTTTATTTGTAAAAATTTTGATTAGCATGTTATGTTATATGGATTTGCAAATTAATTGTGTAAATTTAAAAATTAAGTTTTAAACAAATTATACTTAAAATTTAAATAACAAAATATATATAGCCAAATATCTCTAAATGCATATTTTCTAAATACATAGTCTAAATGCATGATCTTTTTTGGCCCCAACTTATATATAATACAGTACTTATAGATTTTACCTTTCTAAATGCAATATCTCAATATCTCTCTAAATACAATATTTTTTGACTGCTTTATGGCTATGCATTTAGAAAGGCCTGACTATATAAAATAAAATAAAAATAAATTAATTTTTTTTTAAAAACAATTATTATATTTAATCCCCCGATCACTATGCCAAAGATCACGGGGGATTAATGAATATCCTGATCCATATGTGAATAAGCGGAAACGAAGTTTCCGCTAATTCCTAATGGATCAGGATATTATTATTACTAATTATAATATGCAGTATACAGTATACAGTATATATATAGTAAACTTTAGCAAAAAAATTTTTTTTGTTAAAAATAGATTACTGTATTTTATAAGTATTGTATGGGTTGTAGTGAATAACCCAGTTACACACGGGTTCATATTCCGTGCCGAAGGCACGGGATTTAAATACAATAAATAGATATTACAGAAGTAAGTTAATAAAAATTATTATAATAACAATTATTTTTTATAAATTTAAACAAGAATAAACTTAACAAAATCAAATTTAACAAATTTTTTTAAACAAATTTACAAACATGTAGAATAAATTTTATTAAGTTTTGATCAAGTCTTTATTAAATTGTTCTTGCTTACCGTATTGTCGCGAAATAACGGGCATGGGCGTTATTTAAAAAATCGTGTCCCCTAA